ACGAGGCCCGCATGCACTGTTCACTGATTGACTAGTCAAACGTTGACTGGGTCAAACCAGCCCAGGGGCCCACATGTCATTGACTATGGCTGGCATAGTCTAGGTATAAAAAGAAATTTCACTTTTCAAATTCGAATTAAATAATTAATAATAATTCCAAAAAATGTTTAAAACTTCGATAATTAATAGAAAATAAACCGTAACTCGGATGAAAATAATTTGTATATGAAAAATAAGACGAATCCGAATATGCCATTCACATACGTGTCACATGCCTCTAACAATGCAAACGTGGAACCTTCCCCTCCAGATCGTCTGTCCGATAAAAACCTGGAGCCGGGAAAATATCCCCGTATAATTTCCTGCTCCGTCTGTAACACGTAGCACTATGTTAGGTCACCCCTAGCACAATGTATTGCCATGTCATGCTTTTGTGGTGCATTTGATTGCTCTGTTATTTATTGTGTTCCCCCCTCCATTACTTCTTTCCCGTAGACCCCGAGACACATGTTGATCCGGTGATCGACTACTTCACCGTCGAGGATTCGTATCTGTCTGCAGAGCTTCCACGCGAGCCAAACCCCCTTGATCATTCCTATATCACCCATTTTCCTCTCTCATGCTTGCATTAGATTTTACTATTGTATCTGAATGCTCCTATTCTGATGCATAGCCTGATTTTCTAACCTGCTATTGTTACCTACTTATTTAACCTATATGCTTAGTGTAGGTTGGTTAGTGATCCACCAGTGACCCATCACCTTGTCCCTATTGCCCCTGCTTTTTCATCAATGACTCGATCGACGTGATCGACGACCAGACCCCGACACATCACCTCACACCTCCTTAGTTGAACAACTCCGCAGAGCTACTATTGAGTGTCGAGGGTGATACCTCATATAGCACTTTTGATGAGATCTCTATAGTGTAGCTACTCGGTCGTGGTCTACGGAGGGTGATTCCTCCTTCACCACTCCTGATAACGACTCTGTCATGCAGCTCTTCAAATGTGAACCTACCGAGGGTGATTCCTCAAAATTCACCTTGATGGTTACATTGAGTGGGAATCCATCGAGGGTGATTCCTCGGATTCCCCACTTGATGTTTTGGACACACGGTTACTTTGACTATATGCCAGAACAATATTAAAGACAAGTCAGGCCCGGGGGGTACCCGCAAGAGTTATTGTTTCTGCGGGACTGGAGGGACAGGCGGTACCACCCCGTTAGAGGTGGACATGACTTCCTGACAGTCTCTTGTGAGTCGGGTTGACGTGGAGGGTACCCGCGAGTGATGTGGAGTCGGGTTGACCTAGAGGGTACCCGCGAGTGATGTGGAGTCGGGTTGACTTGGAGGGTACCCGCGAGATAACTATGCGGCATGGCTGGGCATTCTTAGCCCTTGCTCTAAGTCTGTGATACGGGGTGACGGGACCACATATCGTGGATCATTGATTGTCTTCGCGCGCTCCCGAGACACTAACGGGTTTGGATATGGCCTGTTCGCACTAACCACCACGCGGGGATAAGTATGGTTACTCTGCGTCGTACGATTCTTCCAAAAGCTCACAGACGTCAGCGGTTTAGCAACGTGCGCCCGGTTGGACGGGAACCACCTACGCTTGTGTAAGGGGGTGGGTCTTCTCTAGGCCATGTTCGCAACATGCAGGATTGCAAATGACGATTGGCCCATGACCCCTTCACATTTAGGATGTAGACCAGCGTGCTGGCCTCTCTATTAAGCCTAGGTAGGACTACGACATGTCGATCAGCCGAGGCCAGGCATGACCCAGGAAAGTGTGTTTGTCCGAAGTTAATCGAGCGTGTCGGGTAAGTTTGTGCTCCCTGCAGGGAAGTTAATCTATTCGAATAGTCGTGTCCGTGGAAACGGACGCTCGAAGTTTTATCCCGATCTCTACAACTAGAACTATATACTGGAGACACTAAATGGATATGATGGCTCCGATATTGCTTTCTCGCAGGGAGTTAAGAAAGGATCTCTAGGCATTACTACAATATACTTATTACTTATAATATGCTAATTTGCGCTCTTCTAATGCTCCAAGATGATGTGAGATGCTAGTCTTCGATAGGCTAGGCCTTCCCTTCTATTCTAGCATTTTTGCAGTCTAGTCCAAAGATATAACCCCATTCCTTTGATACAGATGCATACTTAATATAGATCTAATGTAAGTCTTGCGAGTACTTTTTTGGATGAGTACTCATGGTTGCTTTGGTACCTTTTTCCCCTCTACCCGATTGATGCGATCAGATGACGGAGCCCAGGAGCCAGTTGATTCTGCCGCCGACTACTACTACCCCGACGGAGTCTACTACTACATGGAGACTGACGACGACCAGGAGTACTTAGGAAGCTCCCAGACCGATGTCGTTGTTTTGCTTAGCCTTCTTAAGGTAGACTTGTTTACTTAATGTATGTACTCAGATATTGTTGTTTCCGCTGACTCGTTTGTATTTGTGCCCTCGAGGCCCCTGGCTTGTAATATGAAGCTTGTATTATTTTAAATTTGTGTCTAGAGTTGTGTTCTGATATCCTCCCATGAGTCTTTGATCTTAATCATGCGCATTTGCGTGTATGATTAGTGCACGATTAAGTCAGGGCGTCACATGTTACTTTCCCGAGATTCGATCATCACCCATCGGTACCCCATACTTAGTTCAATCTCATTATCGACAAGTCTCTTACTCGTTCCGTAATACAAGATCTCGTGACTAACTCATTAGCCACATTGCTTGTAAGATCTTTACGATGTTTTATTACCGAGAGGGGCCAGAGATATCTCTTCGTCACACGAAGTGACAAATCACAATCTCGATCCATGCCAACTCAACAAACACCTTCGGAGATACCTGTAGAACATCTTTATGATCACCCAGTTACAAAGTGACATTTGATAGCACACAAGATATTCCTCCGGTATCCGGGAGTTGCATGATCTCATGGTCTTAGGAATAGATACTTGACATGAAGAAAGCTATAGCAATAAACTCAAGTGATACGATCGAATGATAAGCTTACGGTTGGGTCTTGTCCATCACACCATTCTCCTAATGATGTGATCTCATTATCAAATGACAACTCATGTCCATGGTTAGGAAATCTTAACCATCTTTGATCAACGAGCTAGTCTAGTAGAGGCTCACTACAGGCATAATATTTGTTTATGTATTCACATATGTATTTAAGTTTCCAATCAATACAGTTCCAGCATGAATACTAAACCTTTATCATGAACACGGAAATATGATAATAACCAATTTATTATTGTCTATATGACATATTTCCAACAATTACTTGTAGGTTGGTTATATCTAGGGATAAACATGACGATGATTTGAAATGGCCTTGAAGTGTGTGCCAAGTCTTTGGAGGATTCCATCTTGAGTACACCCGAGGTCATGGTAAACACGACCCATTCTTCGCTTATCTGGGGTCCTCGGCCTGGCCCATGCCGACAACCGACGTAGTTAGCACTCCCTAGTCCAAGACATTGTTACCAGGGCGGCCAGAAGCAAGCATGCCATAGGTCTGGACGCACGCATAGCCCCCCCCCCGTTTGCATCCGGTTTGCAGGAAAAAGGACGCCTAGACCGCCGAGTAGACCGACACATGATCGTGTGGGATGGAAAACATGTCCAAACCACGTGGTCCGGACGGTTGCGGGAGGTTTGAGGGCCCGTATTGGAGAAGCCTAGGATGGGAAGTGAGAGGCGAATTTCCTTTAAAAATGAATGAGGCAGCGATTTGATTTCATATCAGGCCCAGTCGCGCTGACTCCACAAGGTCCATTACAGTACAATGCTCTAACTCCACATTCCACTAGTGTGGGAATGGTAGCACCTGCTTGATGACCAAGTTAGAAGCAAGTCAGTTTCTGGTTTTGTTTTTCTTTCGAAAAATGATTCGGTACGATCGACTGGACGAAGCTTCAGCTGGTCTCACTGGCATCGTTCAATCCCGGCGTGCCACGTTGGCCTCCCCCGCAGACGCCCTTATCCCCTCTTCCCCACTCCTCCTCCCACACAGCCGTTCTCCCCCCACATTGTCGGTGGCCACCCCGCTCCCAATTTCCCCCAGCGAGTGTGGCGTTCTCGAGGGGAAATTGCATTGTTTTTTCTTTGACCGGCAGGAAGCTACGTTGTTGCGGAAGACAAGAAGCACACGGGCTAGATCGGACGGCTGATTGCGCCAAATCAGTTGGCTGCGCTCCGACCGGCCCAAATTTGGGCCGGCCGACCGGCTCTGCCCCTTTTCCTTCATGCTTTCCGGAAGTCACCTCTGACATCACTTCGATTCCGTCTCCAGCCCGCCCGCCCAATAAAGAGAGAATTCCTTATTTGGCCCTCTCTTAAAATTTGGTTCCCTTTTTGGCCCTAAAAGAATTTTTTTCCTTTTCTGACACTCAAACTTCATTTTGTTCCCTCTATGACATTTCCGTCACTTTTGCCAACTAACACCGTTAAATACAACATGAAAAGTCCATTTTATCCCTGGTGTATTTTGTGACCAAAATGGGAGTCAAAACAATGGCAATATGAACTGGAATATATTACCAAATGAAACAAAATCTGCAATTATCCCCTGTACAGTACAGTACACACATGCACAAATTTCAATTGAAAATTTGGACAGAGCCTCCCTTGTATTTTGGAGGCATATCCCCTGTACAGTACACATATGCACAAAAAACACACATAATTGCTCGAGATCTCTAATTGCTCCACGTTCACATATATGCAAACATCCCACATAGCTGGTCATCTATACACATTCAGGTTCACATAAAAGTGACATACAATAGTCCAGGTTCACATAAAGATGACATAATAGCCGAGGTTCACAACAGGTCGCATATAGCACGTAAAGAGGGTTCACAACAGGTCGCATATAGCACGTAAAGAGCCAAGGTCCACACATACATCACATAAACAGCTCAGTTTTCAAAATGAAACATGATACGGAAAGTAATGACATGAGAATCACAAACTAAGTCTCCTTTTGCTGCGTGTGCTCATTGCAGGGCTAGCAGGGTTGAATTTCTTGCTGCGTGTACCCATTGCAGGGCTGTCAAGTGGCACCATAGGAAGGTGCAGAGTAATTTCAGCAACCTCTTTGCCTTTTCTTTTGGCATGTACCTTCACAGCAACATGTGTTTTCTTTTTGGCGACATCATGTTCGCCACAAATGGGTTGTGTTCTTGATCTAGACATACACATACATGACATACAGGTAGCCCAAGTTAACAATAGAACAATGCATAACATAACATTAGAACTTCGAAACTACCATAGGTTACCTTTTTTCTCCTCCGGATCCAGATTTACCACCTTTCCCTTTTTCTTTGGTTGTTTTCTCCAAGATTTGGCTATGGTGAGAAGAATGCACTTAGAACACAAAGGCACAATTAATTATATTTAATTATGAGCATGGTTGTTGCTAACCTTGGCAGAAAACGCATGGCTGATGGAGCATCATCCTCGCAAGGCACAATTGACGATTGAGCTGATTTGGTGGTCTTTGTCCTCTTCTTTGGTGGTCCTCTACATGAGCAACAAAAAAGTAGTTAACATGTATGGTTTTTACAAAAAAATGCAAGTGATGCAATATACAATAAAATCCATTACCTCACAGCTAAAATAGCAGCAATGTCATCTGGGTTACCCTTCTTGCATTTGTGCCAATGATGCCCATAGTCCTTGCAAATAGGGCATAAGTGTTGACCGCTTTTTCTTTTCTTCTCACTGCAGCCTTTATACCTCTCAGTTTTAGGCCTACCCGCTGTGGCTTTTAGTAGTGGTGGAAACATGAAGAATCCATGGTTTGATTTAGGTCACTGGTTCTTGTCAACCATGGTAGGGATTAGTTGGTCATAAGCTGCTCTAAATTTGTGAATGGAGTAACACGAGCCCACATAGTTCTCTATGCATGCATTGGTAAGAGATGTGATAAATGCTAGACCATGTTTGCAAGGAAGGCCAGAAACCTCCCATTGTCTACAAGAACATGTTCTGTCAAGCAAGTTGACCACAAACCTAAAGCCGATGCCTCCCAATGCGGTTACTTCAGCAACTTCTTCTAAGCTTTCAACCACCTCCAAGTTTAATTCTCTGGTCTTTGCATTCAACTTCTTAATTATGTGGGGAAGAATCAACCCAACTAACTTTCTTGCTACCTTTCTCCTTTGGTTCCACATGATCATAATCAATTGCCTAAGCTTATCAAAGAAGTCGTCCAAGTTCAAGGACTTGTGATGCTTAATCCAATTATTGAAGCACTCAGCCAAGTTGTTTGTAACATAATCCACCTTGGAAATTGTTGAGAACTGACTCCTAGACCACAACCTAGTGTGCCACTTCCTAAGATATGCAATTGACGTTGGCTTTGCTATGTCTATTGCAACCCAATTTTTCTCAAATAAATATGGGTTCCATGAGTAAGCAGCAGCCCAGAGGCGGTAGCACTAGCCAGTTGCCCCTTGAATCTGCCTGTCAAGAAGGTGCTATCTACTACCAAGTATGGCCTGCAACCACTAAGGAACCCGTCGATGCAAGGCTTCAAAGCGACAAAAAATCTCTTAAATCTGATTTTATCTTTTATTGTGTGGTGCTCAATTATCACTATGCTACCGGGGCAGCACCTTTCAATTTGTGCCTTAAAACCATACCGATTATCAAAGCTTGTATCCCAATCACCATATAGTTCCTTCAAGGCTAGCAGCTTACCCATGTATACTCTCTTGTACTTGATGTTGATTCCATGGTGCCCTTTAAGCTTCTTTCGCAATGCCTTTGGTCCTAGAGTTGCATCCTCAATTAGCCAATCCTTCACGTGCTCACATATCCACCGCTTAGTTGCATTCTTTATCTTCTTTTTCCTTTTTGTACTTGAGCAATCATGACCACAAGAGTTCTTTCTCACCTACAAAAGACAAACATAGATAATTAGTAAAGATCTTTTAACAATTTAAGCACACATGAGTAAAGTTAGAAATTACCATTACGGTGCACCCATCTTCCATTGTAGAAGCATATATCCTCCATGGACACTTATCTTCATCCCTTCTTGAACAATAAGCCCTGAACCTATGTGGTGCACTTTTCTCAGTGTTAAACTCAAATTCATGTTTGATTGCATGTTGAGAAAGCGCCAACTTAAACTCTTCCATATTGGGATATTTTCTTCCTTAGGTCATTGGGGGATCTAATTTATCATATTCTAAATGTGGTGCATGCTCTGCCTCATGCACTTCTCATCTTCCTCTACTTCCTCATCGCTCTCATCCTCGCTCTCATGATCAGGAACATAGTCTTCGTCCCTTTCTTTATCAGAATAGGGAACCATGATAAGAGGATCTAATTGATGCGGGCAAGGCACCATTGATCGATAATTCTACTAAAGCTGAGCCATTTGATGAGTCAAGGCATGAAAAAGTTGCGGAAAATAATGCCAAGCATGCGACCAGATTATGCCGAGGAAACGATGGTCGTGTGCGACAGTTTTGTGGATCAAAAATTGCTCCTGTATTTGAAAAGGAATTAATGCATGTTGATTCTCATCATACAGTGCTTGTATCAATACCTAGCAGAATGTACAACAAAAGGTCTAGATCGGATGCTAAACAGGAACCGAAGCCAGAAGATATAATTCCAACGTTTCGTACGCCTCCGAAGATAATAAGGATCGGCAGTTTTCTGTTTAAACTACATGCATGCAATTGATAGGATCTGCCAGGATAAGTCTCTGTCTTTTATTTAATCAAGTCATTTTATTTTTGTGTTAGGCCACCTGAGTTTCACCAAGACTTGTAATTTTGCTTGTACGTGGAGACGTGAGAGTCAAGTTGTACTATTTACGTACATGTTTTGAGTCTAGGTTAATTAAGGTGATCAATGTGGCCGGATAATTAATTAGTTAAATCCTTAGTTTGTTAGGAGAGTCCGTTTCAATTTAGTTTGGCTTAGTCTTTTCCAAGTTCGCGTCGCCTATAAAAAGGGCCGGCCAGGGCCGATGTAGAGATCTGTTTTTTGAGTTTTCTTTTGAGTATGAGATATACAGAAAAACATCCGAGTTACGGGCGGCCATATCTTGTGTATTATCTGTGATTTTCCCATCGTGAAAATTTACTAGCGACGGAGGGTTGATCATTACATCGACGCCTACGTGCTGATCCAAGGGAGTCATTATTTTTATTCGTGTATTTTCATACACGGGTGAAAATTATCTTGAAGGTTGCGAGGAGGAACAGGGGGACGAACTGTTGATCAAGCATCGCCGTGAAAGATCAGGCATCTACACACACAAATTAGCATATCGCTAGTTTGTGCCTCATCAAGTGGTATTCAGAGCAAAGGTTAGTCACGGCGACTCAGATTGTAATATTGTCTGCGGAGTCAAGCATCAACATGTTGAGCAGGAACATATTGATGGAGGAGGAAGGCATTGGCGAGGTCACTCTTTTTCACACTCGTTGCGTCGTGAACGAACGACGTGTCAATCTGACAATCGATGAGAGTACCGCAGTCAATATGGTGAGCATCGAGGTGGTGGAAAAATTGGGGCTGAAGATGGCGCCTCTTGAAAGACCGTACACGCTGAAGTGGTTCAAAGGTGAAATCAAAATTACGCATCAGATTTTGCTAATTTTTGATCTGGGAAAATATTGTTGTGCGGAATTTTTTCATGTTTGTCCTATGTCCATGGTGTCGTGCCATCTGCTACTTGGGGACCCATGGTGCAAGCGTGTTGGGGCTGTTCGGGATGTGAAGAAAAACAGTTATTCTTTATCACGGAAGGGCAACCAAATTCGTTTTATTCTCATGCCAATGGATGTGTTCGATGCTGATTGGAAAGATCGTTTGCGAAAAAGAAGAGAAGAGGTAGAAGAAATAAAAGAAGAAGTTGATGCACCGATGAAGGGTCTAAATCTCTTAGTGAAGAAGATGCAGGAGGAGGATGATCCTAAAGGGCAGCGATGGAGTGTTTTTAAAACACGGTGTAAGATCAACAATCGTGCTTGCAAGTTGATAATTGATGGTGGTGTGCGACAGTTTTGTGGATCAAAAATTGCTCCTGTATTTGAAAAGGAATTAATGCATGTTGATTCTCATCATACAGTGCTTGTATCAATACCTAGCAGAATGTACAACAAAAGGTCCAAATCGGATGCTAAACAGGAACCGAAGCCAGAAGATATAATTCCAACGTTTCGTACGCCTCCGAAGATAATAAGGATCGGCAGTTTTCTGTTTAAACTACAGGCATGCAATTGATAGGATCTGCCAAAGGATAAGTCTCCGTCTTTTATTTAATCAAGTCATTTTATTTTTGTGTTAGGCCACGTGAGTTTCACCGAGACCTGTAATTTTGCTTGTACGTGGAGACGTGAGAGTCAAGTTGTACTATTTACGTACATGTTTTGAGTCTAGGTTAATTAAGGTGATCAATGTGGCCGGATAATTAATTAGTTAAATCCTTAGTTTGTTAAGAGAGTCCGTTTCAATTTAGTGTGGTTTAGTCTTTTCCAAGTTCGCGTCGCCTATAAAAAGGGCCGGCCAGGGCCGATGTAGAGATCAGTTTTTTGAGTTTTCTTTTGAGTATGAGATATACAGAAAAGCGTCCGAGTTACGGGCGGCCATATTTTGTGTATTATCTGTGATTTTTCCATCGTGGAAATTTACTAGCGATGGAGGGTTGATCATCACATCGATGCCTACGTGCTGATCCAAGGGGGTCATTATTTTTATTCGTGTATTTTCATACACGGGTGAAAATTATCTTGAAGGTTGCGAGGAGGAACAGGGGACGAACTGTTGATCAAGCATCGCCGTGAAAGAGCGGGCATCTACACACACAAATTAGCATCTCGCTAGTCTGTGCCTCATCACTAATTTATCATGATCATCATCGTCTAAATACATATTTTCCTCATCAACACCAACATGTTCATTCTCAAGTATTGGGTTGCGAAGATAATCATCATCGTCTTGTTCTGTGTTGCTAGGTTGGATATGCACATCAATATGCCACTCCATGATAGGCTCATATGGTTCAGATGGATCACAATATGCAACAAAACAAGTGCACAACCTTTGTCTTAGAGAGTTTATCAAACATAGACACCAATTCCTGGTTAGATGTTACTTCTGGGTAAATTTTAAGAAAAGGATCGTAGTACTGAACATGTGCAACTTCCAAATAGCGAGGCGAGTACTGCTCTACGATTGATTCAACCAAGTCTTTATAATTTGTTAAGTCGGAATCAATAACCTTATCATAACAAAAGCATTTGATATCCTTCCTAGTTTTTTTTGGGTTGCCAAACAATTTGATTTTCAGCAAATATGTTGAATTTGGATCCATCCTGTAAAGCAAAAGATCAATTGTGCATGAACATGCTTGCTTCGTGTTTTAAATAAAAAAAGTGACATGTGTAAACAGATTATCCAATATAACATATTTGTTTTATACGAACATAATCTTTATCTATTGTTTCATTGTAGATTTGGCAGCAACAAATATCCATCTCTAACTACTCTGTTGCATCTTCGATCCATCTCAAGTACACTGTTTAATATGAACATAGTGTTGCATTTTGAGAAAAATCATGTCAAGAAAGGTGAAGCAAATATGTTGCATTTTGGATCCATCTCTAAGTAATCTTCGTTCAAGGACGTATCATGGCAGCAAAAACTCAAATATAAAGAAAACAGACACTTACCCTTGTAGCCATGCCGGAGTACTTGCATCCAAGGCCGTCGCACCTGGACCTCCCTCTGCCTCGCCGCCATGGCCGCCCTCCGGCGCCGC